CTGTGATCTATTGAAGTGACTCTTGCTGCCATTTGACATAGGAGATTTGAAGCTTTGGAAAAAATGTGCTCCTGGTGGCTCTTCTGGAGAAAGGGAGCAGATGTGAAAGCTAAGAGGTAAAGAAGTGCAAGAGGAAGAAAATAATAACCTTCTTGAGTGGTACTGGTTAGTTTCTGGGGAGTCATGGAGTAGAAAGGCAATTGTGGTGGAAATTAGCATGAAGATCTTGGGGGAGGGAGGAGTTGTCCGTCCCCTCCCCATCTTATAGAAGCGTGGATCTGAGTACAGCAGGACTGGTTCAGCAATCCTTTTGCAAAATCATGGTGTTTTTGCTTCAGCTATTGCTTGTCCCTGAGGAGTTAAACTGTAATCTCTTATCAGTCAAGTGGGATTTAGAAAAGTTCTCAGTTAGTTTGGGGAGACAGTAGTGCTTCTGGGAGGCTTCAAGAAGAGGACACTCACTTCTGGATGGAGTCCTAAAACACAAAAGCTTAGGAAGTGTACTTGGAAAGGCCAGAGAAATGGATAGTAGTTTGAAGCCTACCCTGGAAAAAAAAGTGAAGACTCAGGAGAACTGAGGTTTGTACTGAAAAATACCAGTCTTTTGAAAACTTTTCATAAGGGGGCTTTTGCTGATGAGAGTTCTATGACATAAAAGTTGAATCCAAAGGTCTGGGATGATAGTTCTTTTTGTTCTTTCTGAAATTCTACTTGGTGGGAAATTTTAAATCTTGGCCTCTCTGTTTTAAAGAGAATTTCCAAAATGTTGCACATGCAAACAGAACAAAAATTCCAAGTGTTGACTAGCCATAGTAAATAGTCTCAGTTCTCTGACAGTTTATGTTAGCGTTAGTGCTGGTGGACTTAAATTCATAGCCTGAGACAAATGTTGGCTTGCTATGTCTATACCGCCTATCATTTTCATTTCAGTGGTATCTGGTAGCTGATGTATTTCTGGAAAAATGAACAGTCAACTATAACGATCTGTCTGTGTAGCTTGTGATTAAAAATAGTAAAAAAAAATATATATATATATAGCTACTTCCTTTTATGGTGACTGTGCATCCTGTGATTACCTGCTGGTGTTTCTCACGTATTTTTCCTTCAGCTGGCAAAGACTTTCATCTCATTGGTAGCTTGGTTACATACTGTGTTCTACTGAAGGCATGTGCGTAGTGATTGTTCATTGTGTTGTTTTTTTTAAACTGCACCTATGTTCTGTGGATATGGGAGAAGGTACCTCCATTCTCAGAGTTCAAGCATCCCTTTGAATGTAGTGCAAATTAATTGATATTAATAGGAATAGTAAGCCTTTTCCTTCTGTGTGTATCTGGATGCTTTGTTATCTTTCCACTTTCAGACTAGTATCTCATTGGTTTTGTTTTTGTCAGTTTGAATAATTTATCTTCAATTCAGTGTATATTGTAGAAATATAGAATTGAATTGGAAAATCTTCCATTTTGCTAAAACTTCTACATTCTTCTGCAATTGCATAAGAAAGATATAATTTCTTCCCTAAGGATACTAGTTTTAATTTTCATATAGATTGTGACAAAAATGATGAGAATATCAGGAAAAGCTTAAGTAAGATAAGAAGTTCATGCAACTATGCAGCAAGCCTTTATTTTAGCTACAAGTCTCCTGAAATGTGCTCTTCTTCCTCTGACCTTTATAGTCTCAAACAACCCTTTCCAATTGCTCTTCGATCCCTCTTTGCAATGGGTGGATATCCTATAAACATATGTTGACCAGTGATTAAGAAAAATCAGGTCATTAGTTTGTGGTTTCTTTTATATCTGTGCCTATTGGTGTGTGGATTTGGATATGTTTGGTTCAAATCTGATTTATACATGTGTATGTATACATATAACTCTATACAGGTACATGGGACAATTTTACAATATTTGAAGCTTGAAACTGGTGCTGGTTTTATTGTCAGCAGTGGCAATCAGCCCACAAGACAGTAAAAAGTAGCAGACCTATGAGGTCTTGAAGGTAAAAACTGAATGCTTGAATCTGTGATTAAATGATGTTCTTTCCATTAGGGTAGAAGGCAATAGACATTCTTGACTGCTATGTTGTGAAAGTGTCAAAAAGTTTGGGTGATGTGCTGTCTATTAAAAACTGCTTCACAGTAGTTAAGACCAGGAAGTAACGGTCAACTGTGAAACAAAAAATTTTCCTTTTTAAAATATGATGTGGGTGAAAACATCCAGTGCCTGCTAGGCTATAATAAACTCCTCTCCAGATGTTTGCATCCCAGTAAACTGGAACTTCAGCATAGCTCAGAATATTTTCATGAGGAGAAATTAATGTTTGTCTATATTTGTATTCGTTATTTTGCCAGTACATATGGTCTTTGGTCAGATATTTAAGTCTGTTTTGTGTAGTCCCGCTGGTGTGTGTGTGTGTGTGTGTGTGTTTAGCTAATTAGCTTGGCTGCATAAGAAAACATTATTGTTTTTATCAGTTCAAATTGTCAAGATAATGGAACATAAATATGTAGCGGTGGTGATTTATTTCACCAACCATCATGTTTTACATCACAATGTTGCAGTATTGCCAAGGAATAGAAGTTATCATGTTTTTTTTTTCAACTCTTCATTTCCCAAGAAAATTCCCTATAGTGAACGTTAAAAAATCCTAGGGGGATGTTAGAGGGTTATATATGAACATACACTCTCTATATAGAAATATATTTATCCTTTTTTTTTTTTGAATCTTGAAACATATATACTAGGATCTAATTTCTTTAACTCCTTGTCTCAGACTGATTTGTTTTAAGCAGCTCCCTGAAGTATGTACACTCTCCTGCATACCTGTTTTGTTGAAAGTACACAGAGCTGGCACCATTGTGTTTGCCAGGCATTCTCTTATCTCATGCAAGCATTCAAACAAAAGTGTTCTATTGCTCCCTAAGTAATCCATGGGTGATCTTAACATTGAGCAAAAGTCAGAACAGGAACTTATGCCATATTTCTTAGTGCAGGGGTAGACAGCCTCTGGAAGGGGGTGGGGGGAGTTGAGGGCACGGAGAAGACAGCCAGTAAGTCAAAATAAAGAGCTGAAGGGTTGTGATTGTGGGGATTGTGTTCACATGTAAAATCATTGCATAAGATTAAAATGTAGGGATAATACAAATTGAGTTTCACAATATAGCCTGTTTTTAATAATATTGTTATTATATATGCTTTGACATATATATTTTCTTAAAGTAGAGATCTCACACCAGTCTACACCCAATTTTTCTTTGTATGTAGATTTTAGTTTCCCGTTCCACAAGGTAAATTTAGCGTATTTTAAGCATGCAGATAGTCCTATTGAACAAGGTCTTATCAAATACAACACATATTAGCGTACCTTACTGAGAAGGTATCTTTAAGTTTCTGTTGTGACAATTATTGCACTCAGAGAACAACAACAATAAAAAAAAGAGTTTTAAAACATAGCAAATAATTAGTAGCAGATTTTTAGCACATACTCCATCCTCCAAAATAAAGCAAAACATGTTGCTTCCTAAGCTGTTAACTGCTGCATTGCCATTATCTTTCAGATTCCCTTGCTTTGTAGTAAAGGAAAAAAGAAAAAATATTTTTCTTATTATTACTTCAGGAAATTCTGTAATTTCCAAATTATTTTTGCTTTCAGTCCTAAAATTCAATTTTTTGCCCCACTTATAGGGTATCCTGCTAGTTTAACCAAGATCAACACTTCTTTGTTTATAATGTTCTCATACAGTAACTAAAACTATGCCTCAGGCCTGGAAAGAGGAAATGTGATGAGTCCCAGACTCAGAGTGGTATCACTGAAAGCTTTAAAGCAATCAGAAACAAATGAGCTTGAATTATATTGTCTGTAATCTTTAGGTGTATACACAGAATTACTCTGTGACAGTTAAGGACATGGATTTATAAGACATAAAGTAACCCAGCACTGGGTTTCTATCAGTGATCAGCGTTGCAATTTCTAGATTAATCTTGCCTAGGGGTTATTCTAGTTAGCACGTGTACACACACACACGCACACACCATCACAAAAAAAGGATAAAATTTAATGAAAAACTGGTAAAGTGTGATGAAAATATTTATAACTTCCACGTTTCTTAGTACAGCATTCTAAATTTCTTTCAAGATTCAAAACTTGCATGAGGAAAACTAGATTCATCCAGCTTTTAAAGGAAATTGTCAATGTGCTTATAAAAAAAATATATAAAGGGAAGATCGAAAGCTAGGCTACTATTTTTTTTTTTGAAATAATTCTAGTTTTGTCTTAAATGAGAATAATTCTTCATCAGTTTGCATAAACGTTTCCTGTGTTTCCAGAAGCGTTCCTAATATTAGTGGGGAGGGAGCGTTGTGTTCCTACCAGTTATGTCCCCCCTTATTTTTTTCGTCAAGGTTAGCTAGAAATCACTCTCTGTGTGCTGTAGAACCAGCTTTTGACACTGAAAAACTACAGTATGTGTGTGGCGCCAGAATTGGTTGGGAACAGGAAAGGCATATTTTGTATATGTACTAAACCTGTCGGCTTAGTGCATAGAAGACTTGACCCTTGTCAGGTGTCTTGAAGTTAACTGACTGACTTATGGATTAATCAGTTTAAGACTGAAGCCAACCAGTGACAGGCGTGAGCTTTGTTGTGTGTGTACGTGTGTGTGGTGATGGTGCAGATTTACAAATTTTTATAATGCTTTCAGTCGGACCGTGAAAGTCTGATGTAAAGCTTATCTTTGATCCCTGGCTTTGGCCATGCTCGTGGGATTGTGTGTGTGTGTTTGGGGGGAGGGATGTGAATTCTTTAACACTTGACACCTGGCTCTACCGGGTTTCTAGCCGTAGTCTTAGGAATGGCACTGTTCAAGGCATTAGTAAAGTTAAAACCTTAAGCTGTATGACCAGTAGGTCATAAAAACTATTGCTAGGTATTGTGCTCAGTCTTTCTTTCACAGCTGGATTATCATCCTGACGACTAATTCTTTTTTACTTTTGTCTTTTTCATAGCTGTTGTGAACTTGGACAACTCTGTGGTTGACCTAGAGACCCTTCAGGCCCTCTATGAGAATGTGAGTAATCAGAGGAAGTCTGCATAGTATAGGCATACTGTAGCTCCATGTGAAGGTATTTTTGGTTTGCATCAGTAACAGTAACACAGCTGAAGAATGTGTCCTATTCTGACCTGACTTTATTTTGCCCAAAGCAATCAAAATAATGATAAACAACTGAACTGTATTAGTTGGCATTGTGCACTTTATATAGCATATTTTATAGTACAAGACACAGACTCTATGTGAAAAATATGAATATTGAAAAAATATGACTATATGAAAAGAAATATGAAAACGTTTTGACATCAGTAAACTAACCAACTTCTAAATGGCTAAGCAGAGATAAGTTTTCTTTCAGTCTCTCCTCTTTTTGCCTTTTCTTTCTGGGTGGGACAGTCTTTGGTTAGTATGCATTAGACCTTGTGCTTCATGCCTTTAGCTTCCCTTGGTAGCCTCACTAATATAACAATGCTGTTCAATAAAAAAAGATTTTTTTTTTTATAAAAGTAATCGTTCCACTTGTGTAACTGAAGCTTTTAATTGCTACTAATTCAGGGCCTCATCCAAAATAATTTTAACTCTTTGAAAGGAAAAGGCTTACTCTAGGTAAATGTAATAAAAGGCAGTATACTAAGCTAGGGGCTTCATAAATATCAGGTACTTCAGAGAGCATCTGGATACTAGGTGTACATAAACAAGAATTCTAAGGCATATTCTAAAACTCCACAAAATCACTTATAAAGCACAAAAAAGTGTATGCCAGAAGTATGTTTCTGCCTCCAGCTGAGGCCAGTGAGCATCACTCACCCTCAGAGCACATTGCCTGAGTACGCGGAGCTAGATGTCTCTGGCTTCAAAGAATCTGAAAAACTGAAACGTAAAGCAATGAGGAACAGAATGGCATTGAAGGCCAGTTTATGCTATCTTACTGGATGTTTTATTTCCCTCACGTTATCTTTTTGATAATAGATTCATCACTTTTACACCTTTCATATCTTTGTTTTTTGGACTGTATCTTTTCTGGAATGATTTATTGGTTTATGAAATTTTTCATAAATAATCCACCTTGGGGCATGAAGAGAGATAGTAAGACTGAGTCCTCTTTACAGAAAAAAAAAACAAGAAGCTTGTGATTATCTAACAAGAACTAGGAAGCACTACTACCAATTTTGTCCCCAAAGAATTAACTCAGTTAACACAGCACAGGAAGATAATGGCCAACCAGCAACCTGATCCTAACTACCTCAAATCTTTATGCTTTAAGCATCTCTCATCCTTATACCATAGAACTTCTGGATGGGCCTGTGTAATTCTTATTTTGCATTATTTTCACTCTACTCCTTACCTAGCACAGCTATATTCCATTCCACACATGTGGAATGTAAAATATTTAAGTCATTTTATATATTAACCATGAAAGTGTGTGAGAGATTGTTTACTGGAAAGTAGAGTAGATACTTTCCTTATGATCACTTTTTGCAGACTGTACTCTTTCACATTGCATTAAACCTTTTTTTCTTAGTTTAAAAAAAAGAGTCCTCATTTGTGACTGAATGACGTTTGTGCTGATAGGAAATTTTTCAAATACTTTCTCCATCTTGGCTCTGATAAACTTCTAAATTCTAGTATAGTGGATTACCTTGTAGATCACTGAAATAACAGAATGCTATTTTTCCTTGTATTCTTACTTGCACTGATTACAGAAAACGTCTAGGAAATATTGTCCTAATTGAGGAAATACTATATGTCGATCTCAGGCAAGACTAGAAATGTTTGAATGCCGGTAATATGTTGTTCAGTTTGGAATGGAAGATGTGTCAGCACAACTTTGTTACTGTATTTGCTTGGGCACAGGAAAGCAAAAAAAAAAAATCCCTTCATTTTGAGAGAGCTTCCTCAGGGTACCTGGATTTTAATCATGGTTCCTCTGTTTGGTGAAAGCGTAGCTTGAAAGAAACCATTACTTTTTTTTTTTCCTGTTTTTGCTTTCAATTTCTTCTCTTGTTGCCTTTTCTTTTGGGTGGAGTGGTATTTGGTCAATATGCATCAGACCTTGCGCTCCAGGCCTTTGGCATCCCTTGGTAGCTTCACAATGCTGTTCATTTAAAAAAAATGTAAGTAGTGGGTGGTATCAGAGGGATTGGCTTGTTTGACTCCTCCCTTATTTCTCAACCTCCTTCTGCATTATTTAATGGGGATAACTTTGCTGCCTCACTCCTCTACTTTCTAGCCATTAATACAGTTTTTACTTCTTAGGGTTTATTTAATGGATCATGATTTTTTGCTAGATATTTAAAAATTACTATGCTAATCCTCAACCATTTCTATTTGATCTCTCTGGAACATATGGGAGCATTTGTTTTACCGTCTTCCATCAGAATGTAATCATTTTTCCTGATTGCATATGTCTGGCATGGTTCTTTCCCTTTTTAAATGTGAATGAAATTTGGGCTGTCTCCAAACCTAAACACACCCTAATTTCAAAAGCCACAATCCTGAGGGCTCAATTTCTGTTTACTGAGGAATTAAAGTCTTGTTAAACCCCATAGTTACTGTATACATCTTAGTGACTTTTTGTAAATGAAGAAACCCACACCCCACCAGAGACCCAAGCCCTCAATAGTTTATTTACAAGTATTAACTGGTATTACAGTTAGTGAGAGAGACTTGGATACTGCAGCACTATCTGCTACAGTCAAACAGTTCTTACATATGAATGTGTAGTTTTCTTCATAAAGTTGTTTAAATATGTATCGACAGTCGGCTCTTTATTGGTCTAGACAGTGATACTAGGTATTTCTTAATAGATAAAATTGTGCATGTGAAACAGTTATTTTAATGTGCTTTCACAGGAAATTTCTACCAGAATGGCTCTGTGGCCAGAATTTTTCTCTACTTTTTTATCATAACAACACATAATTAATTCATTTTTACTTTGTATAGGAGGCTTATCTGCTCTGTGGGCACAGAAATCTAGTTTAGATAAATCAAATGTGGTAGAATCAACAATCGCTTAATATTTTACATTTCAGGAGCTGTATTTCATTTTATTGGTTTAGCATTGCAATAATTTTTAGGTTTCCATTTGTTCTATGGATGGAGGCTTTAGGAATGGAGGAACCATTTATACCTGCCATATTATATGATATTCTAAAAATGTTTTATCGTATGCATTTTAAAAGTTTGATTTTTGTTTAAATTTTGCTACAAGAAACTGTTACATCCCTACAAATTCCCTAATAGCTACATTTTCAGGTGGCAGCACTAGGGAGGAAGAAGTTAGACAAAATTCAGTAGAGTTATTACTTCCTGGTATGTTACTAGGCTCTGTTGACTGTGATGAGAAATATATGCGTTTGCAGACAAGTAAATGTTTACCATGAAAACAGGTAGCTTCTTAATAGCTGAAATACCACTATTTGAAACCAGGCTAGATTTAATGCCTGCTCCTGCTTATGTAATCACTACATTGTGAAAATAAGTGCTTAAAAAAAAAAAAAAAGATTTAAAAATTTGTATCAAAGGATTATATTTGCATGACCCTTTTAAAATCACTTTAGACAACAATTTGAAAGGTATATACTTTTTTAATTTGGCTCCTGGCAAATTGTCTGCTCCATCAGTATCTTTAAAAGATTTAAGTCAATGCTTTCAAATACCTCCAAAATCTCACCTAGAAGTCTGAAGAGCATGTCTCCTGCCACTAAGATTCAAACCTTCTCCTCAGTTATTTCCTGTGATTTTAAATCTGGTAATTAAAATGCTATGACTTTAATGGTTTTCTACAAATGCTGTAGATTGCACCTAACTACTTCTACATGACCCAGCTTTAAGAAATACGGTAGTTGCCATTAACCTAGGTATTCTGCATATCCTTATTGCTTCAATTACTTTTGAAAGCGTTCTTTAGACTTCCAACTCCCTTTGCTTTTGAAATGTCACATTAACTTCCAAAATCACAAGTATACAAATAAAAAACTGACTAATCTATGGTCAGAGTTAAGGCTATACTGTGAGCAAAAACAGGAAATATAACATTTATGTTGTGAAATGGAAGAGTCGCCATGACTCTAAATTTGGTCCTACCTGTACTCATAAGAAATATACTCTGGCAAAAGTGAGGAAAAAGTTAAACTAATCCAAAGTATTTCTGAAGTACTTCTGTTTGGGGTGTGTTGGCTGACTTTAGATATACTTACTATAAAGGTCAAGCATATTATACCATTTTGTTCCATTTATGATATTATATAATAGGTAAAATTCAAGGAAATAAATAGCACTGACTTTCAGAGAGGTGCTATAAGTAATCGGTTTAATGAATTTTGTGAGAAATATCTATTGGCTGTGTCCCCTTTTGGTACAAACACTGGAAGATAATAGAAAAGGTTTTTTCATTTTGTTTTGTTTTTTAATACCCATCTGTAAATTAGGGAATAGATAAACATTAACCAGACAAAAATAAGCTAACAGGAAACAACTTGATAAATAATCTTCAGTAATACTTGTGCAGAAGGTCTGCTTTCATTTGTTTCTCCTCTGTCATAATTTAAAATATACCCAAGTGACAGTTCTGGATAGCAGAGCCGTGCTTACAGATTAAATTGCAGGGTTGATTCTGAACATGCACCGTATACTTGGTACTCTTGGTGTTGGTGAAGACTGTATGCCATAACTCTTGAGTTTTGCTCAGGCCTACCATGAGTGGCTCATACTTAGCCTTTGTACCTTTGCTATTTGTTATTTCTTTACGTACACAATCTCAGAACAATTGCTTAAATAAGGAACGTTGAGTCTGCCTAACCTTTGCCCCTGGGATTTGATAGAGAAACATTAAACTTGAACAGTGTATCATCCATATATGTAATAGATTGTTGTGATAAGCACTCTAATACATCACTATATGTGGAAGGCCAGAAGAGGAAATATTCTCAAGATTTATTCTTTCTAAAGAATTGGCAAATAACTGTTTAGTTGTATGCTCTTTGCCAAAATGTTTTCTCTTTATCTGTTATGAAATA